CAACGCAAACCTCATGAAGTTCAACAAAATGAAGTGCAGGGTCCTACACCTGGGCCATGGCAATCTCAGGTTGAATGGGGAAGTAACTGAGACCAGCAATGAGGAGAAAGACTTGGGTGTCACGGTGGATAAGAAACTCAGTGTGACCTGGCAGTGTGCACACGCAGCCCAGAAAGCCAATGGAATCCTGGGCTGCATCAAAAGGAATGTGACAGAAGGTTAAAGCAGATGATTCTCCCCATCTACTCTGCTCTCATGAGACCCCAACTGGAATTCTGTGTACAATTCTGGTGCCCTCAATGTAAAAAGGACATGGAACTGTTGCAGCAAATTCAGAGGAGGCCACAAGGCTGTTAAGAGGATTGGAGCATCTCTCCTATGAGGACAGGCTGAGGGAGTTGGGGCTGTTCAGCCTGGAGAAAAGAAGGTTGTGTGGAGACCTCATAGCAACCTTCGAGGATCTGAAGGGCCTACAAGGGCGCTGGAGAGGGACTCTTTGTTAGGAACTGCAGTGACAGGACAAGAGGCAATGGGTACAAATTGAAAGATGGGAAATTTAGGCTAGATATTAGGAAAAGGCTTTTTCCAATGAGGGTGGTGTGACACTGGCACAGCTTGGCCAGAGAAGTAGTGGCTGCCCCAACCCTGGTAGTGTTCAAGGCCAGGTTGGATGAGGCCTCAAGAAACCTGGTCTGGTGGAGAGGTGTCCCTGCCCATGGCAGGAGGTTGGAGCTAGATGATCTCTAAGGTCCATTCCAACCCATTTACATGCTATGACACTATGATACCACAAGTCTATTTGAAGCCCAGGTGCAGTAGGACTGTGTGAGTGCCCTCAGGGCCAGGCAGTCCTACAGACACAGGCAGCAGCAGCAGCACAGCCATGACTGCACCTAGCCCAGGGTGAGGCTCCTACCAGTCCCAGCCAAGGCAAAGCCTGCAAACCTGTCTGTAAGCATAGAACTGCCTCCAGCTACGAGTCTAATGTAAAAAAACCAAACAACCAACCCCTCTTCATCCAAAAAGGTCTGGTATTAAGCAATTGTTGATCAGACAGTTTTAAACTGAATAAATACAGTAAAAAATTTCAGAGGGTATTCAGAAATTATGTTAAAAAATGAAGGGCTACACCATCTTCTCAAATATTGCACAAGCCCACAAATAAAGAGTGAAGGACACAAGCAGAAGGCAGGAACTGTTCCACATTGTTCCATGCCATTCATGTTTTGTAGGAATTATGCAAAAACAGATGGACCACCATACCTAGAATCATAGAATTTTAGGAGTTGGAATGGACCTTACAGACGATTAGCCCCAACCCCCTGCCATGGGCAGGGACACCTCTCCACCACACCAGGTTGCTCAAGGCCTCATCCCACCTGGCTTTGAACACTGCAAGGTTTAGAGTATCCACTACCTCCCTGGGCAACCTGTGCCAGTGTCTCACCACCCTCACAGGAAAAAGCTTTTTCCCAATATCTAGCCTAAATTTCCCCTCCTTCAACACATTAGCCCTTGTCCGGTCACTGTCGTTCCTAACAGAGCCCCTCTCTGGCTCCCCTGAGAAGAGAATATATATACTAAAAGCTTTTCCCCCTTGTGGTCTTACTCATTCAATCTATCTTCCCTGATTTAGCAAGGCATGTTTATATGAAGCCATGTCGAGGTAGTACATGTACCATCTCCTGCCTATTTCAGTAGAAGCAAGGTCCCTGTAGAGAGAGGTACTTGTCAAAACCCAAGCAAAAGCGCTGCTTGTATTTCACACACACACACAAAACAGAAAACCTAGACAGCTTTGATAACACCATATGTTTCCTTCTGGTCTTTGCATCTCAGTCCAAAACAGAGTCATCTTACCCTTGGGAGACAGAGAGAGAAGGCTTCAGCATCTTCAGTTTATTCAGTACTAAGTCTCTCAGCCAGCAACAGGGCCAGCCAGAGCCATCTGCTGCAGCAGCTTTTGTGAGGCACATTTTACAAAGAGCAAACACTTTCCCCCGGCCAGACAGCTGCCACTCCAGTTTGGTGGATTGGTTAATGCCCCCACAGCTGGTCAAGCCATTTAATTTTTACCAGAAACTTTATTATCTCTTCAGTCCTTGAAATCTGATGTCTGTCAGAAACACTTCATTCCCACTTTCCCTCCCAAGCATGTTCTTGAGTAACCAACAATCTGGTTGCACACAGTTTTCTTCTCTGGTCACTTCTGAGCTTCAGTTTCAGTACACTTTTCATCCTGGGTGGGAGCAACTCACATTACATGCTCACCAGCAAAAATGGCGTCTACAGACACAAGAACTCCATACGTTGAGCTCTAAGAGGCTTACAGCAAATAAACGAATCCATCCCATGTGGAACACACACTTGGCTAAGAAAGAGACATGGAAGTCATGCCTGCATCCCAGTTGTTTACCTGCATTTAACAGTGAAGCCATTTTAGCACTATTCCTTTTCTCCTTTATAAGGTGACAGTTTTGTGGTAACTGCTGGTCAGTGAGATCCTGAACTAATCCAGCAGAAGTCTGGCATGCCTGAGACTACAGCTGCATCTTCACTTTCCCTCCCTTATGCAGTGCAGAAGGGGCCTGAACAGAATGTATTTGTACTATTTCTGAGCTCCACCTGTCCCAGCTCACCTCTCCTCCAAACCAGAGTCCCACCAGTATTTAGTTTTGTATGCTAGGTCAGGTCAGAGTAAGGAAATATCTAATCTTACATTGGGAGAGGGACTGTAAGGCTATTTATGGAGCTACTTTTCAGCAATTCAGATATAAACCATCTCCCCACAGCACTAGCAATAAAAATCCAGTTCACAGCCATCTTATTATGACTGTGCAAAGGCAAACACAGGTACAGTTCAGATGAACCCCTCCCATAGAAGACATTTGGCTATCACATGGAGGAGGTGCAGAATTAGCTTGGGAAGGTGGATCCCTGAGCTGCTTCAGTCCAACAGCTTTGAAAGGAAATCTTCTGCATGACACACTTTTATATTTTGGTCTTCCTTTCCTGCTGTTACATTTTTCTCCACGTCCTACAGTTCTACCTGATGTTGTGTCTAGCAGCTGTGGAAGCAGATAAATTCCTCTTATCACCTCACAGCTTCAAGCTCTGGGGCACAGCTGCAGCCAGCACTAAGGAGATGGGGAATTTTTGAGAAACAAGGGAGCTGTGTGCAGTCCAAAGCAAGTGACAGCTGAAGACAATCAAGCTGCTGCATCTACTTTTTTGGTTTCTTTTATCCCTAATTTCTTCCTTCTTACCATTTTCCTCATTTCAGCACCAAACTCTCCTTTCTTACTTCCAGTTTGACCAGATAGTTCTGGAAACCTTGTTTCATTCCATGAAGAGCACAGGAAAGCAGCTCCCACCTCACCATTCCCTTGACTACTGTGAACAAAGAGCAAACTGTCAGTGGCAGTGCCACAGTTATTGGAGAAGGCACTGAGGCCCTTTAAAACAGGAAAATAATAAAATGGAAAGAGAAAGGACACCTCTGTAGCTATAGGCCTGAAGCACACCACGTGCAGCCCTCTGTCATCAAAAGGAGAGGATATATGAGCTACATTTAGAGTCACACCCTATGAGTTTAATGTACAGATGATATTTGGTGTATGCCTATACCCCTGAGAGCAGCAGCAGCAGCTTCTCCACCTTCATTCAGTGCTAGCTGAGTCACAGCTGCTGTCTGTCACTCCCGCAGCTTCTCACATTGGCTTGGCCACCCTGCAAGAGAAAGGAACTGCAACTCTATCACCTGCCCTCTCACAGATTAAGGGGAGCTGACATGATTGCACAGAAGCTTTACATATCCCACCTGTACCTGAGGGATCATCTACTAGAGAGGTATCTATGTCTTTTCATTATGGGCTGGACAAGGGGGAATGGCTTGAAAACTTAATTCTCTACCCTGAATGTTATCTTGCAGAATTCCCGTCTGTGTCACTCATGGACAACTAGAGCACTATACTCGTTCCCCTAGGGCCAGGATATGCACAGAAGATTTTAAGGTCTGGAAGAAAGCCAAACCAGGAAGCTTCCTTAAGTTTGTAAGCCCTCAGGCAGAAAAAAGGCTGGACACAGCTGTTGCAGATTCACATTGCTAGAAAGGAGCAGTAGAGCAAGCAGAGTTCAGCCCCTGGGCTACCCATTTCCACTGCAGACAGCTAAAACACAGCTGGTATTTGTGAGGTGTGTGCATTGATAATCGGAGACTCACTGTACTGTTCTAGAGCATGAAGTGAAATGCCTTCATATTGCTTCTATGATGAACATACATAAGAGATACAGAACACAGCACTGCTGCCAATTCCTTCCTCTAATTTGAGAGGCCAGTCGTGATTTTGTAACACCATACCCACCCCCTCCCCAAAAATGGTGTAAGTAGAGTTAGTTTGTGATACAGCAGGTCCCTTAGCAGCAGCCTTGGGAATTTTCATGGCAAATGCAGCACACACAACACCGTGTTAATTAATGTCTGTCCTCCTCATGGAGGGAAGGGGAAAGGCATTTTCAAGGCTATATGCATTCTTGAAGACAGACAACTTCTCATCCTCCCATGGTTTAATGACTGCTGGAAGGGCTTGCTACATCTTCTGAAAGGACAGTGTATCTGTACCCAAAATGTTATGCCAAACAGCAGTACATTCACCTACTCCTGCTGTAACAAGCATTCTCCAAGCAACTTGTTTTCATTACTTTTTCAAGCATGTTTTCCAGTCAATCTTTTGTAGGCTGTATGGAGGGGGTTAGTAACAATCCTTATCAGAATTTAGTTCCTAAAAGGACACATGTGCTTTCTTGGTCAAAAGGAAATTTCATGTTGTTGCAGGACTCCCAAGACACACATCAGCATTCTCCTTCCCAACCATGACACTTTTTCTTGAAGCCCCAAAGCAACAAAATTCTTCCAAGCAAAAAACAAGTTACAGAAGGCCAAGAAGTCTCAGTGAAAATCATGGGGAAAGTCACCAGAGCTTTAGGGAGGAGGAAAGGGATTAAAAACATTTGGGTCCCACTTATAAATAATTTAAGACAACCCAAAAATATCTGTACAAACACACATATAAACAGGAAAAAGCTCGTATTCCACAGATGTTGAGAGATTCAGCGACCTCTTGGGGGCACAGGTGGAGGATAAAAGCCTTCACAGCTTACAGGCCTATAGAAAGACAAAGAATAAAAATGCATGTAAAAATAGTAGATAAGAGAGTTCTGGAACAACACATTTCATGCAATAACATCATATGTAAGAATACCGTACAAGCAATAGTCATAGAAGAAAAAAACCCAGGCTATTAGTGAGTCAGCAACAGAGCAGATGCCAAACTGCCAAGCCCTGTTCCTGTCCAAGCTATTTCTTCTGCTCTTCAGCTGCAGTAATTCCACTATTACTGGAAAGAGATGCTGTAACACTTGGAGTAAAACTTTGACAGTATAGTAGCTTCCTCCTGAAAATTAGATGAAGAGCAGTAGGAAGAGCTCAAAAGATTCAAAATTTTTTTTCAAACTAACTACAGATAAATTCCAGCTATATAGTTGCCAGAGCTAAGCCAACATACAGAACTTGCTGCACCCACACAGTACCAACTACTGCTTTAACAGTTAGAGAATTTTATTAGCCTCTGTACTGAGGTAAGTTTTTAGGGCCTGGACTTCATAGACTTGCACTGGTTGGACTAAAGAAATGTTTACTTAAAGAAAAAAATGTCCAAGAGAATGCCAAAAGGAAATTCCCTCTCTGCTACACTTTGTATGTTCCAAGAAGGTACTCTCAGGAGGGTCAGGTACTAAATCTCTGCCAGGGGCAGGATGCAACTCCACCTGGGTCAGTCTTACTATGGCAAGTGTTGTGTGCTTCAGTAGTGCTGCCCCTTGCCATGCATGAACCACAGTGACAGCACAGCAGTAGGCATGGTACCAACCAGGAAAGCAATTCCTCCAAGTATTACACATGAGAAACGAGGATCTTACAATTCCTAAGAGTGTGTGGTGATAGATAACAGTCTGGTAGATTTGTTCAAAGACACATTCGCTTCCTGCCTCGCTGCTTGCCTTGCTTTCTGTCCAAGGCTTCCATAGGGATTCACTGAAAGTTCACGTCTGAGCTGCCTTTTAGCTTTACCTGCTTGCACCTCGAGGAGGCACTCTGGGAGGCCTCTCTGGGAAAGGCAACCTCTCTGCTTGGTGGGCAACCGGGCTGCGGCTCCTAGTTGTTTCTGTGATTTCATTGTCCTACAAAATGAAGAGTTTACAGGTCAGCAGAATTTGGTTCTTGTTAGCTTCTCAACAGAAGTGGCTACGCTTTGGCATTTCTGCAAACTCAGTGCCATCTCTGAGCTCCTTTTCTTTTGCATGAAAACAAAGCCACGTACTTAAGAACGGCAGACAAGTACATAGCAGAGGTAAGAGCTTACCTCACTGTCCCCTTCCATCCCACTGCTGACACTCAGTATGCTCCGAGTGCTTGAGCGGTTACTTGCACTACCTGGAGTAAGCAAGAGAAAACAAACTCGTTATTGAATCCTGGTCATTTAACTGCAAATCACAAGCTCAGGGCTCCTTCTAACCTCATGCTCAACTCTTGCACACATAATTTAATACTTGTTTAGATTCATTTATTTCCACTGTTATTTTTCACATGTTCAGGACCCAAACAACAGCACTTCATACAACACAAACCACACGGCCAAACCATTCAGTTATGCTTTCCTTCTAGAAGATGTCTGCCCTATCTAGATCCAGTCTTCTGGTTAAATAAAACCATAATCTAACTGGAAAGATCCAGTGCCAATATCACCTGGTAAGTCAGGTAAATATTTTCACAAGGGTTACACACCCAACATTTATGTAGACTTATCAGTCCCCATGTCTTTAACAACTGCATGAAGGTAGATAGCTCTATGCACTGTGACATATTAATTCCTGGAATAAGTGACTACTTGAGAGGTTATTGTTCCAAATAGCTGTTTAC